GCCCACTCTTCCTCTGCCTGCCACGGCCCAGCCAGGCCACAGCTCCAACTCCCCTTACTGAGTGCCGGTCAGGCACCCTGGCATCTTCTCCACCTGGCAGCCAAGAGCCAGCACCCCAATCAGCACACCAGGCACACTGCCCCCCTGCCCCTCGGCTGGACCCCCAAAGCCAGGAACTGTCCAGCCCAGCTACCCCCATCTTCATCTACTGCAGCCAGCCCCGTGCTGCCCCTCTCCATACCCCAACCATGCCAGCCCCTTGCCTAGATCGCTGACCAAGTGCCTTCCAGCCGGGGGCCTCTGCCTGACCTCTTCCCAAACTCATGGAGCTTATGCTTTCAGGATGGGGCACATCACTGTGATAGGGAGGGCTTTCCCTTCGTCCCACAAGGCTCCCATGAAGGGTCCCTTCCTCAGGGAAGCCCTTCCTCTGTGATGCCCGCAGGCACACTGCCCCCACCCCATGGGGAGTTCCATGGGAGCAAGGCTGTCCGGTCCCGGTCACCTCTGAAAGCCCAGGGCCAAGAGGGTGCTCGGTAAATGTGGAAAAGGGACCTGCGCCTGCCAGCCTCCTCCCCCCCCGCCCCCTCCCCACTCGGCCTCCAGATCTCCCGATCTGTGAAGGGAAGTGGATGCCCTGCCTGCCTGAGGGTCCCACTGCACCTCCACCTCCCTGCACCCTCGGGCCCAAGAGACAGAACTGTGTGTCCATCTCCACACGACCCTCCCTCCACATTAAGATGTGCATGAGAGCAGGCCTCGTAGGGCAGCAGGTTCAAGTGGCAGCTGCAGCCTTTTCCAAGGAGGGAGGGAGAGGGCCTCAGGGAAGCAGAGGCCCAGCCAAGCCTGTGGTGTGTGTGCAAAGACCTGACCTCCCCAGGCCCGGGCACAAGGCCTCCAGCTGCAGAGCTGACCTGTCCAAGGTCTTCTTCATGCCCCCCACAAATCCCAAACATCCCGCGGAGGTCTCCCGTCCCGGCCTGCTCAAGGCCAGGCCCACAGAGAGAAGTCAGTACCTGTATTGTGAGCAGGCATGCCCTCTTTCAAAAGGCTGCCCAAATAAAAACCCCACTGAAGAGACAGTTGAGAATTCAAAGCTGCCAAAAAGAAAGGATGGGTGGGAGCCTGCCCAAGTCACACAGTCTGCTTCTTAGACAGCCTGGCACCCAAGTGCAGAGCAGCAAGAGCCATCGGAGGGGCCCCTCTTCTCTTCCTGGCCCAGCCCGCCCCTTCATGCAAAGAGGGGTACTGCACAGGGGACAGAAGTCAGGGCCAACCAGAGCCCATCCGGCTGTGCCATTAGCTCCTCCTACGAAGTGACCCTGAACAAGTGACTTCTCTGCCCCCAGCCTCAGTTTCCCCATCCATTGGCCAAGGAGGCTCACTCTGCCTGTCTCCTCCAGAGAGGACCTGCTGTAAGGTAAATCAACGCTTCCCTCTCGCTCCCTCCCGCCACCAGCCACGTGCATGGGGCAGGCCACAGGACCAGTGCCAGCTGGGCACAGAGACCTCTCAGGATGTTTGGGATTCCTCCTGCCTGAAAGACAGATTGGCTCAAGGCTGGAAGCCTGTGCCCAGCCTGCCCTAGGGAAACCACAGCCTGGTCCACTGCTTCCCTACTCACTAGACTTGGCTGGGACGCATCCCTCCTGGGACCCCTAGGAAAGCCTCCCAGATGCCATTTGGATGCGTCTGCTGGAAGGCCTCTAGGCAGAGACGTTGGCAAATAAATGCCCATTGTGCCCCAGTGCCAGCCCGTGCCTGGCACCAAGTCCACAGCAGTGGACTTCAGCCCCACCCCCACCTGTGGCCCCGAGGCCCCCTTTCCTCAGATCTCACAGGATCTAGCCCAGTGCCTTGAAATGATCCAAATCTGGATTTCCCTGTACCACCCAACCGACTAAAAAGAACCTCCTTCAAAGGTCTGAGGACCTGACATGAGGCTGTAGCTGCTTCAAGCCCTCTGCCACCAAGGCAAGGCAGGGCCTTGGAGCCAGACCTGCCCACATTTAAATCACAGCTCTGCCACTCTCTCGCTGAGTGACACGGGTCCATCACTTTAGGTCTCTTGACCCCAATTTCCTCATCAGCTCACGGGGTGGTTCAAGGACTCAGCTGATCATGCATTCGAGGTGCTCAGCAGGTCCCAGGCATCTAATAATGCACAATCAAAGGCAGCTTAAACCCTAATGATAAAATGGATGGCCGAGAGGATGAACAGACACAGCATGTGCAAAAACACTCGGCACGGCACCTGGCACGTAGCACTGAACATGGTAGCTGTGAGGATTATGGTTCATAAGAAGGCCTCAGAAAGATGAGGCTGGGGAACAGTGCAAGGTACCACCTGTTCTACCTGCTCAAATTGGGTCAGGCTGGAGCTGTGTACCCAGCTGTTGCCATGGCACCCAACACACAGGGAAACACTCTAGCTAGGAGGGTGGCTGCTGCAGGAGTGGAGCCTTGGGCCTGCTTTGCTCAGACACCACCCATGCTGCCACCACCCCCACTCCCTGGGACATGTCAGGGGTCTCCGGGGTTATGGACAGTGTGCTAATAAACTAAGCAGGTCTCGTCACCCCTGATCCTGCCCCACCTCCAAAACAGTAGGGCCTTGGCCCTCTGGAGAGGTGGGCTGTGAGGAGGGGCTCCCAGGCTGCAGACCAGGGTGTGTGGGATGGGAGTGGAAGGGTAGGAACCCAGGAACCCCCATCTCCTGGGCAAAAGCCAAAGCAGCTCTAAAGCAGCCTCAGGTCCCAACGTGTCTGTTCCCTCCAGCCACACATGCCCAGCAGCAAACAGGTACCCAGAGCCCACTAAGTGCCCAGTTGTGTGTGGTTCAATGTCAGCTCTTCCCTCCTCATGCCACTCAAGTTTCATCCCGGATGAGGGTTGGGAAGCCGGTTTAGGCAGGCTCAGCCGGGTTCAGGGAATCCATGGCCCCTTGCCAAGAGGGAAGAAGGGGAGAGAGGTGAAATCCAGACACTGTGGGCTGAGACCTGGAAATTTCCAGACTTTCCCGGATGAGGGGGCAGGTTTAGGGCAATTGAAAGGCTGACAGGTAGGGTGACAGTGGCCCCAGGGCCTGGGAAGCCAGCTGAGACCTCAGCCTGGGGCTGAACACTAAGTCTTCAGTAGGATCCAAGACCTTGCCCCCAGCCCTCAGGTCAGATGTAGGCCCTCTGCTGACTCCACCTGGTCCGCCCAAGACCTAGGAGGGGCTGGGGCCTGGGCCCCTCTACCATAGTGACAACAGCTGCTGCAACAATCTGCCTGGTCAGACATGGTCTATACAGTACCCATTCCCCATCACAACTCTAGGGGTGGGTATGACTTCTTCCATTTCACAGAAGAAGAAACTAAGGCTCAAAGGCAGAATAGGCTAAAAGCACATCCTGAGTTTGAATCTGGGCTCTGCTGTATTAACGCAGAGAAATCACTCCCTCTTTGAGCCTCTGAGCCACCTCTACAAAATGGGAATAACAATACTACAGGCCTCCCCCAACCTCCACTCTGCTCCATGGCATAGTCAACAGGTTAAGTGAGAGGTGCTAGTAAAACAGGGAGCAAAGCACCAATAATTGCTGGTTCTTGGAATCAGAGAGGTTAGGTAACTTGCCCTACCTAGGTCACCCGGCCACTCACTGGCTGACCCCAGGCCCTAGCTCTGAGCACCACAGCCCTTTCCCAGAAAGGCTGGGCTACTCTGTGGGTGGCCACAGGATCACAGGCTTCCCAGGCAACGAGGACAGCCTCCCACCCCCACAGCAAAGGGCAGCCCTCCTCTGAATTCCTCAGATAAGCAGCTCCCAGCCTGAGCGGACCCAAGTGCACAGAAAAGGCACCCCACCCTGTCCCACACTGGAGATTCCTAAATCTGGGTTAGGCTGTATGCCTCCTCTCCCTCCTCCCAGCAGAACATTCGACCACCAGATTCATCCAACAGGTCTCCAAACAGGCCAAGTTCAGTTGACAACTGCCTCCTTCGAGGTCCCTGGCAAGCCACTTACTCCCTCTTTCTGGGCCTCAGTTTCTCCATCTGTAACAGGCACCCGATCTCAGAACTGTGAGGCAGCTCCAGCTAACTGGGCCCACAGGGAGGCCTGAGGAGCAAAGGGACAGACCAAGGAAGGGGGCCAGTGGGTCACAGGCACTGGGCCAGGCCCTGCACCGCATTCTCTCTGCTGAAACTTCACAACTCTGACAGGGAGACCTGTATTGGGCCCACAGAGTGGCCGAGCTAGGACTCAAACTCCCATCTGTCACACTCCAGGACTATGTGACCCCAGATGGGCCCAGGCAGTGGGCGCAGCTTGGGAACTCAGCCGCCCTCAGCAATGAGCCGGGCAGCTGGACCTGCAGGATGGGGAAGAACACAAAAACTAAACTTGACCGAGCCTCTTTCTTTCAAAGAGGGCAGCAGCCTCCTTGACAAGGGCATTTGCAATGCAAAGCAGTCCAGCTCCAGCCAGAAGAGGGCAGTGACTCAGAGGGGGCTGGGCAGGCCAAAATCCAGCCACCACCCTCCAGCCAGACCAGGAGTGCCTGGGGCTGGACCTTCCCAGGAGCCAGGGAGTGCCAGGGAACCTGTGGCTGGCCCGGGCTCTAAATCATATGACAGCCCGAGTGGCCAGCTGGGTGCAAGATGCCCTGGAACACTCCTCCCCTTCTCAGCCCTTCGAGGCCAAACCCCGCTGGGCTCTTCATACAAGTCTGCAGAATGGGCCTACTGTGGGCTGTGTGCAAGGCCCCATGAGGGGGCTGAAACAACAGACCCCCAGGTATCCGGCTGGTCACCTGCAGATGGGTGCCCAGCACCCTGCCAGCTTCCTCAGGCCCAGACCTCTCAGATCACTCAGTCCTGCCTTGTGCAAACCTGCCCCAGACACACATAATCTCCAGGGCTCTCTGGACCCCAAGAGGCACTTCCACACTCGCCAAGTGACTAGATCTGGCTCATTATCCCCCTTCCCTGCAGGCAGGCCTGCCCCAGCTCCTACCTTGACGACAAGCTGACAAAATCCCCGCCATCCAGCAGCCGGACCTTGCAGAAGAGGACCCCGTTCACGAAGGGGACCGCAGTCAGCTCCTCCAGGGTGAAAGTGGTTTGGAATTTGAATTTCTTCTTCTTCATCAAAAAAGCCATGAGCGAGTTCCCTGAGTCTGAAGCCCCGAAGGCCAAAAAAAGAGGGGGAGCCAGAAATCCCCAGGATTCGTTTACCTACAACACACCCCCTC